CTGCAGTGTCCTACAAAGGACTCTGATTCTACGAAAGCTTCCATAGATTTTGCAATTGGTAATACCGATTCCCTGTCTTTCTCCATATCCTTGCTTCAGGTGGGACCTTACTAAGAGTAGAGTTAATAGGGCAAAGGAGATCTCACCGCTTTGAATGGACTCTAATGCACGGTGGAGGGGTAAAAGTTCCAGGCCTAAGTGCTTGGAGCATCTGGAGTCCTGGAGCCTGGAGCTCTGGAGCTCAATGCTCACGCTCGAGAGTCGAAATTTATTGGGCACCTCGCCCGAGAGCGAAAAGCTTGAAACTTTCATGCCAGCCACTCATTTTCATTTTCCTCGAGCCCTGAATTAAACATTCGCGTGTGTGTGTGTGTGTGTGTGTGTGTGTGTGTGTGTCGGGACCCAAAGGTACGTGTGTGCTGTTCCGCTTTTGTTGTGTGCGGAGTTCTTTGTGCGGATGTGCGGATGTGGGTGTATGGTTGTATTGGTGTGTGGGTGTGCGAGTTTTATGACTTAACCGACACAAATTACTTAATGCTGCTCGTTGCTTGCTGTTTAATTATTAAACAGGGCCCAAAGGCACGGGATGTTTAACACACATTAGATGATGTTTTGGCTTAGTCAGCCAGTCAGCCAGTCAGCCATCAGCTGGCCAAGAGAAAACGGAAGATGGCTCGGATGATGGGCCACTGTTTGTCGTCAATCGCGTTTCACCCGAGCCCATCATGGTGCCTTCTCATCGTGTGCATCCCGCTGACCATTATCCCCGCCAACAGCCAGTTGAGTTGTAACAGGCTGGGTATTAAAAATGTATACTAACTAATATAATATCATTATTTTATATTATTTGATTATATTGTAAGCGTTGGTCACACTTCTGATCTCTCGAGAGAGGATGTGCTCTCTCGAGAGAGTAAGAAGCTAAGCATAAAGGGGGGTTGAAAAGCTAGCTGCCTGCGAGCAGCGAGCTCAGTTCGTACTGAGAATCATAAGAGAACACAATAACGAAGATCCTGGTACAAGTTTGTATCTGGTGCTTAGAAGCCATCTCTTGGACGCCTTTCTAAAAGAGTTGGATGATCCAAAGCTCACACACACATTTGATTCTGGCATCTGTTAATTAGCTCGCAGTGTAATCTTTCCGCACTTTTTGCTGCTACGAGTATTTAGCCCAGACCCCTCTTAGCCACTGCCCCACCTGCCCCTGCCCCCTTAAATGGCGCTGATTTTTTAGACGTGGCAGGAGCTCAAAGCGCCAGCTCCTAATTGCTGCTAAATGGAAGCGAAAGCGCTTTGTTCGGGCATAACGAGGCGTGCAGTGGCAGTGGCCCAAACAAAGGGCCAAAAGGCGTAAAAGGCGCAAAAGGCGGTCGCAGGGGGTCGCCATCCTCTGTGGCATCGCGGGCGAGCGAGGATGAAGACTGCATTCTGCCCGCATCCGGCGAAGGACGATCCCTCCCACCCCCTTCTGCCTCCGCCCACCTACCACTGAACGGGGTCAAAGGGCACAGCGGAGCGGGGGACGGGGGCGTGGCAAGCGAGTTAATTACCACGCCAATGCCGAGCAGAAGACAATGGCCCGCATGCATTTGTGGAACTGTTCTGGCTGGCCAAGGGGGATGAGGGATGAGAAATGGGGGTCAGATGACTGGGCTACCGAAACGGGGTCACCAAGAAGATGGCGGAAAGATCGGAGGAGGCGGGCAGCTGCTCAAGGTCTCCGCCTTTCAACTTACGATAAGTTGAGAAGGAACTGTCGTGTCACCTTTCCCACTCGACTGGGAGAACTCTACTCTGCAGTAGGAGATACAGATTCTACTTGCTTGGATATAGCTATGCAGCTATAGGGGAACGAGGGAGTGGGGAGTTGCCCCTATTGGTAGTGCACACCTTCCCCGCCCGGCGAAGTGCAAATATGTGTATTGTCTATCCCCGTTAACCTGTGTCCCTGCCACACGAGCCCCGCCCGATCCCCGCGGCAGGGTAAGATGCGTTGCGGCAGGCAAACATTTGCGTAACCCGACCTGCCCCTTCCCCCTTGCCCCTTCCCCAACTGCTACCCCCAACGGCCCCCGCCAAACAATTTCTTAATTACGTTTGTGAGCATGCGAGGCCTGCACATCTGACCACAGAGCAGCGCAAACACTGCACCCGTGCCATCCTCTGGCTCTGGACTCCTGGCCACCGTCCGTGTTTCTAATCGGGTTAATCGCTCGGTGGCCGAGGGACCTGCCTGCCAGCGATGCCAGCGGTGACCGGGAAATAATTCATTTATACAACGTCCACTGGAATTATTCCGCCCGAACGAAGTGGCATGTGGTGCATTACTTATTTACTTGTCACTACCCATTATCCATTACCCATTGTCCATTACCCATCGTCCATTATCCCTTATCCAGTATCCTTTACCAATGACGCGGCTCAATGGCTGTTGAGCAAGCAAACTCTGTGACTCCGAACCAACACTCGAGGGCCCTCGAAGTGAGCCAATCGATTGCCAACACATCTCAACTATCCGACGCACTTGGCCACTTTGCATTCCGCGGGGGAGGTGGAGGTGGAAGTCTGCCGGAGGAAGCTGCTCCAGCCAGCTGATGCGGCTGAGAGCCGCCACTGTTCGATAGTTGGTGGTTGGCAGTCGTGGGTTCCGGTTTGAGTGGGTGAACCCACACATTAAGTTAAATTAACTCGCTGTTTTAAATCACTTTCGCATTTGCTTCCCGATCCTCTTCCCATTTTGGCAGTCAACCCAGTTTAGCCAAGCTTTTATCCCTATTATCCTTGCCCGGAAGAGGTCCTTGTGAACGTGCATGCCAACTATTTGACGGTGCATCTGTTTATCTTTGCTTGGACTTTCGACAAGGCCCGAAGAATTTCCCAAGTTTCCCCGGCTCGTTAACCCGAAGGAGAAGCACAGGGAGGTCCACATATCTGAGATTTCTTGAAAATATTAGCTGTACATACTTAGATTTCCCCCACTTCTGGTTGTCTGCAAGTCTGAAGAACTGGAGACGCAGAAGTGCAGCTCAAGGTCGCGCATTTGTTGTTGTTTTTCCTCGATTTTTGGCGTCTTGCTCTGGCGATTCGTTCAGAGTTTTTGGCACCCATCGCCAACCATTTCTTCGGGAAGTTGGAGACGGCGGAAGGGAAACGGAGTCCCCTCCTCCAGGGAACACAATGCCCCGTCCTGTGGCAGTGGCATGATTAATTGCTCATTTTTGCGGCGGTCACATTGTAAATTGCTTTCACCTCTTGTGAATTGCCAATCGAATATAAGCCGCTGCCAAATGGCCAAGGCCTACACTGGAAAAGAAACTTGTTGGCGTACTAAGAACAATCCTTTAGAAGATTTTCAGCTAACTAAAATGCCACTATTGAAAACGTGGAAAAATGTGACATGAACAGGGGTCAAAATTTCGTCCATCCTAGAATGGAAAATTTTTGAAGACAGTTCCTTCAAGAATTCTCTAACAAACGTTTTGAGGTATGCCTCTTTGGAATCGGATTGAAATTGACAAAGTTATGGGATCCGGAAGTCTAGTCTTGGGTCATTTTGCTGAAAACCATCGGAAACTTGGAAAAGTTTTGTCAAGAACTTATTTGCCAGATTCCCCAATTTCGGAGAAGGTGAGTTCTGGGCATCGACTCATCGTTCACCTAGCCGATTTTCAAGGCGCTTGCCTCGTATGTAAATGAGGAGCCAATCTGGGAGAACTCCTTGCCCTCCTTTCCCTACTTCCCCCAACATTTCACATTGGGAGCACGTACAAGAACTGGCCAAAAAGCGGAGAAAGCAAAGCAAAGCGAGGCAATCCGAGCCTGTAACTCTACAAGTGATAAATGATTGAGAGAATATTGGGATAAACCGACAAAAAATATGTCATTAATACGGGAATAAAAGTGTGTTGTTTTCCGGGACAGAATGCTTTTCCACTGACCTCTGACCCTGGTAAAGATTTGCTTGTGTAAGGAGCAGAAGTATTTACAATATATAGTGGTTTTCCTTTCCTATCAGATTACCTTTTATATAAAAGTTGTACAACTGGCGGGTATTCGAGGTACTACATCGAATAGAGATTATCAAGCCTCCTTTTGCTGCGGGTATTTCGGTCTATGCTTTTCCAGCCGACCATTGCCAGTCACTATAATAAGCGTAAATAAAGAAGGCCAGCGAAGAATTACACAACCATAAATAAAAACAAAGGGCGGAGGGCTAAGGGCGAAGGCCGAAACCAACCAACCCAACCCCAGCCTGAACCCAAAGCCCGAGTGGAATGGGCCGCACAACTCGGACGGACCGGGCCAGAAGCAATAACAAACGAACAGAGGGTGCGGTAACACACTCAAGTTTCGTAGTAGATTGCAACCGCTGAACAACCTCGTAAAAACTTATTTAATTTGTGATTTATATGAATAAAGCTCAGTGGTAAATTCCCTGGAATTATTCATTTGCCTCCTCTTTGGCCGAAGAGTTTCCCGTTTGATCTGCTTTCGAACAGTCCCTACAAGGAAGTCGGCTCCAGGATTCCTCCCCTGTACTTGGGTGTTTCCTAATGGTTTTTGATTTCCGACCAACTACGACCAAGCGAAAGGTGACCCCGATTATCGCCCTGACCGCTCTCACCACTTATGCCACCGCTTAGCCCGTAATTATATGGCAACTTAATGTCATTCATGAGGTTGTTCCATCTCCTGGGAAGAAAGGTATCGCTTGGGGCAGATGTGGTGCAACTTTTCACAAAATAAGTGGATGTTCGAATAACCAGCAGACTTCTGAGGGCACTTATGCGTGGGTTAGTGATTGAAAGTTATTTCAGACTTTGGTGGCACGGTCGCGAGGAAGTGTGCTCCAAGGAACTCCAACTTAAAGCCAGTTACTTTAGTTTATATTTATACTTGTTTCACACTGGTTAAAAGGCCGGATTTTACATTATTTGGATTTCGTATTCGGGCCACGTACTTCGGACTGACTCTCAAACCCCAAAATACCCTGTACGTACCGCTCTAGCATCACAGCGTATTCCGAGGCTGATTACCAGGCAGAGTCCCAAAAAGGACACCAGGCAGCGGGGCCGCAGCATTTCCGATCCTTTGGATACTCGGCTGGCAGGATACCGACCTATTTTTGCGTTAGTTTCACTAAAAAAAAAAGAACAATGGTGTTGACGGTTGTTTGTTAAGGCATCGGCACGAGTTGACGAGGATATTTTTTGGTAAGGTCCTTTGCGCCTCTGTCTCCTTCTCTCTCTCTCTCTCTCTCTGTCTCTTTTTTGCACTCGCACCTATTATGTATTTTCTCTGTCCGAGAAACAATAACAAGAAAATTAACATTTTGCCGGCGACGCGGAGACTTATTTACTTTCACTACCACAAAAACTCTCACACACACACAATCGCACACAGCCTAACAGTCGCAGCCACCTATGCTCGCTGGATGTGGAGTACAGAAAGAGAGCGAGAACGAGAGCGAGAGAAAGAGAGTGGGAGAGGGAGTGGGAGTGGGAGTGGAAGTGGAAGTGGAAGTGGGGATGGGGATGGGAGGAAGAGAGCTTTCCAGAAGTCCCTCAATCACAACGAACCGAACGCGCACGCGGCACGAATTGTTCTGGGTCCTCGACGGCGAAACAGGTCCGTTTTAATGTCCTGCCACGGCGAAGGCGAAAGCGAAGAGAAGGGCGAAAGCTCTGCGGCGAATTCGGCTCCCTGCCGAGCAAGTTCGAGACGGGGCGAAGCGAATGAAGTTTATAAATGTACGTGACTGTGGCGCGCTTCTGGCATGAAGTGTGTGCTAAGCTTTGCCTCCCCCCCTCTTTTCCCCCTTCCTCACCGTTTGTCCGGCGAAATCCCAGCACCCCTCCCCGCGCCTGTGCACTCGGCACAGAATACTCAAGGACACTGGCCCAAAACTGGCCCCAGATCCGAGTCCAGTTGCCACACCTAGAGAAATCACGCGGAGCTTAACAATTCGAAATCATCTTATCATATGCTCCGAATCATAACGAAGGGAAGGGGTTTGGGGTTGTGGTTGGTCTTTTCTGAGAAGAGCTAACTAAACATTAAATAACATATTTACCCTTATAAGGCATACGGGTGTACTCGTATTAAAATGCACCAAAACAAAGTTTGTTGTATTTGAAATATCTTTTAGTTTCTTTCCGTGTAAGTCCCCATGTCAACATCCAGGAATGGAGGTGGGGCGAGCATGTCTTGAATTTTAGTTGATTTGCTTGGACATTTTCGGCTAGTTATCCGGCTGTGTCTGACCTTGCCTCCCACCCCCAATTGCTCATCTGCCCACAATTCACCATCCACCACCCACCACCCACTGGGCGGCACTCCAATTAGAACAGTGTGTAGTTTGCGAGGTGTACAACGAGTGCCCCTTGGAATTTGCGCGCTCGATTTAACTTTCATAAGTTCCAATGGCGTAAGTCCTGCCTCCACTGCGATTTCCAGGAGAAGGCGGCCCATGTCTGGGGATCGTACCCCCTACCCGGGGTCATGCAAACCGGGACACGGCATTCTCCGTTCGAGTCTCCTCTCGCCAATACCGTGATCACCCCACATTTTACTCAGCCGCGACCCGTTTTCCCACAGCTCCTGCTGGGCTCCAAGGTCCCTCGGCCACTCAGAAGACCTTCGAATGGTTTCGCTAATGCTCTCCATTAGCGCTACTGGACGCCACTTAATGCCACACGTCGCCAGAATGGGAACCGGAATGGAAAAGCGACCTCGTGGAGAATAGGGAATGGAGATGGCAGCTGGTCAATCAATGCAACACGCAAAAAACAAATCGACAAGAAAAACCTTTTAGCGGATTTCACATGTGAAATTGGGATCGATCCAATAATCCCATTCTTGTTGCTATATCAACATCATAATAACCACAATGATTCTTTTTGGGCTTAGAAGAGCGGTGTCGGCAGAAGAGAATCAAAAAGCCCCAATCGAGCTTTTCGCGCCAGAGCTTGGAGTCCACCTTGCCATCCACACACCATCCACCTGAAAAGCCCCCAGCTCGACCAGCTGATGATCAGTTGCGTGTTGGATCCCCGAGCTCCACGTGCTCAAAGCGAAACGGAGAAGCGACCTGCGGATGGAGAACCAGGAGAGAGAGCAAAAACTGGAGAATCCGGAGAAACTGGAGAATGTGGAGCCGAGCGACGTCGAGGTGAGCCAGGTGACCGCCGGCGAGGAGGGGGAGCTGATGGCCGTCCTGCTGGCCCACTACTACCCCGAGGAGCCCCTCACGGCGGGCACCTCTCCGCCGGAGCCGGAGGCGGCGGACCGCGAGTTCCTGCTGTCCAACGTTCCCTTCGGCACGTGCTTCCTGGCCCGCCAGCGGGGCAAGGCGGTGGCCGCCGTGGTGGCGGGGCCCAAGGACGCCGGCGAGGCGGAGCACCTGGCTGAGGAGGTCGAGAAGCACGCCGGCGGGAAGTGGGGCCGCATTCTGAGCCTGCTCGCCGAGGTAGAGAGGGCCACCGACGTCTGCCGCCGGTTCGGAGTGCCCAGCAGCCTGCACGTCCACGCACTGGGCGTCGATCCGGAGCTGCGCGGCCGCCAGCTGGGCGCCCGCCTCCTGGCCGCCGTTGCCCAGCGGGCACGGGACCTGGGCCACCCCCTCGTCTCCGTGGACTGCACCAGTGCGTTCTCGGCCCGGCTGGTCCAGCGCCTGGGCTACCAGCTCGTCCACACCCTGCGCTACGCGGACTTCCTGGACGCCGGCGGCCAGCAGGTCATCCGCCCTCCGCCGCCGCACGAATGTGTCCAGACCTTCGTGCTGCAGCTCTAGAAGCGTATAGAAGTTGGCCATCGAGTTCCAGGGCAACGCGGCTGCTTATCGGGTGATGACACCTTATCGGGGAGCACGAACCCGAGTTTGGGGGCTTGGAAGCCGTAAAAGGTGGCGATTCAGTGATAACGAGATCTTATCGAGCAGAAATCGAAAAAAGAAAAACCTTTGAAATTACAACTCGTAAACCAACCCATACTCGTGCATGCACCGCATTCTGTACCTGTGCCTCTGCGTGTGTGTGTGTGTGTGTGTGTGTGAGTGTGGGTGTGTGGTAAAGGATCGACGACGGCAATTGTGCATTGAGCATACGCCGCGTTGGCCGCGCTAATTAGACACCGCAGCTGTCGATAATAAGCCGCCTTGCCCGAACGCCTTTGCCGCTGCTAGTTAAGTGATTAGGCTGTCCCTGCCACGCCCACCGCCTCCATCCTGCCTCCTCCATGCCAGGATGGGTATATGAAAAGGTTGCGCCAGAAAAGGAACCAACAGCCACTGCAGAGGGATAACGTCAGCTGAAACTGGAACTCGTCATATTGTACTTTGTGTATTTAGTTAGCTACCTCTTAATATGGTATTATATTGTATTCAGTTCTTAAGTTATCAACTTATATTAATATATATAAGTATATATGTATATTAATATATATACATTCCTATGTGGCTACTTCGATAGAATTTCATATGGAAAATACGAATAATGAGCTAATGAATTTGATATCAGTGCGTGCCTGCTTCTACTATGCCTATACTCATTTACTCATATACTCATTTACTCATATACTCATATACTCGTATGTGCTCATCTGGCGGGGTGTTTGAATAGGAAATGGTCACGCGTCCTCGCGCTGATGTTGATCCTGTTAATGCTGATGCCGCTGTTGATTTTGCTGTCGTCGTCGTTGTCGTTTATTGTGTTTATTGCCTGCCAGCTAATATCCGGGCCAGCAGATGCTGGCTGACACATTTCCAGCCAGGCAAATTCGTCTGCGCCTCCAGCCTCCTGCCTCCTGCCCTCCGCCTCCCACGTGGCCCATCAACCTGGCCCACTCGCTGCTCCGTGGGCGTGGCCATAATCAATGGCACACACATAGAGCGACTCCCTTGAGCGGGTTCCACCCAGCCGTGACCTTCAGCCTTGATGTCCGGTTCGTCGCATATTAAATTGCACACTTCGCAGGGCAGGAGGGAAACAGTGGAGCCGGGATGCGACCTCTGTTCTGTGTCTTGGTCGAGGTCCGCTCCTGCTGACGCCTTCTGGTTGGTCCTCGGGAGGACCGCTCCTGGCCATCTAGACGCCGAGTGCCTGCAAATGAATAATAGATGCAATCTGAAGCTAGATCCCCATTGCAGGAGAGGCCCATAAAGGATTAGAAGGCGAGAGTTGGGTCTTGGGCCCTGAACTCAAGGGGATGCCTAACCGAATGTCCGCCGAAGGGAGCTGGGCTTCTGTCCGGTTGAAGGAGGTCCAGAGTAAGTTGTAGTGTTTTTATACCTTTGCAGTGAAAAATGTTTGTTTTTCCCAAAACTACAAAAAATGGCTAAAAAATAACCCGGTTTTTTGGAATATCTGAGAAAGTACTCACCCAAATGTGAAGTGGCATACATCGTTGAATTCGTAATAAAATTCTGATTCCGATGGTATAAACACCCAAAAAAGTTGAAATTTTGCCATTTTTCCCAAAAATGACGATGTTACTCCTTATGAAAATTGCGAAAATTGGCCAAAAATCATTTTTTTTTGAATCGTCCAAAAAGTGATTGGGCTCGTTAACTGTGGTCATAAGGTGCTCAAAACAGTATTTGGTTCCGCTGTAAGTCACTTTTTGGCCTTATTACAACCAAAAAACCACTCAAAATATAGTGTTTTCTACCGGAATTGTCAACTGATCTTTCCCAAATCAGTTTTTATGAACTAACTAAAGGATCAGTTAAATAACAATTAAATTGCATTCGGTGGCATAGCTAGTTGGGCCACTTTGGTTTCCCAAAACTATACTTTGTTCGGCTGTAAGTTGTTCTTGCCTAAACCGCTGAAAAAAAAAACAGCCGATTTTGCTTTCAATTCGATTTTATACACCAGGCCAACATAACTCGTAGCAGGTTGCAGCGGGTAAATCTGATCTTATTTAAATAACTGTTATTTTCATAAGATAGCTGTCCTTGTTACGCTTCCCCTCCCTGTCCCCACCAATCAGAAAGCCATCCCGCTGGAAGGTACCGTTTCTTTAAAGTAAGTATCAGACCAGAGATGCGAAACCACGCTGATTCTTTGTGCGTGTCACGAAAATGGCACTTCGCGCACGAGTAATTAATAAATTCTCATGTGGTTGTTGTTGGCGTTACAAGAATAACTTGTCACGCGCTCAACACTAAACAAGCCAAGTTAAGCTGATCAGCTGATCGATTTGCACCTGCTAAGCGGTTATGTTGGCCTGGTGTTTGCAATTCAGTTCGTGGCAATTTGCTTGCGAAAATTTACCAAAACTCATTTTTTTTTAATCGTCCAGGTTTCGTTCAACGAGAGCAGCTCGTTCGCGGATTTATCGAGGAGCAGCAGAAATTATTCGCCTTGGACGAATTAATTATTAGGGTTTTAGAGATATTCTTTCAAATGTAGGATGGGAGTTTATGAGTGGCTAAACGCATAGCAGATGAATACCGAATTGATTAAGATCTAATTTACCAGTTGCAAAAAGAAAAAAGGTTTCCAAAACTACAATTTGTTTGGCTGTAAGTTGTTTCTTGCCCAAATAACAGACAAATTACCAATGGAAAAAACTTTTTTTTTTGCCCAAAACTACAAGAAATGGCTATGTGAACTTAACTATATAAAATGCTCAGAAAACCCAGTTTTTTTGGAATATCTGAAAAAGTACTCTCCCAAATGTGGAGTGGCATACATCGTTGAATTCGTAATAAAATTCTGATTCCGATGGTATAAACACCCAAAAAAGTTGAAATTTTGCCATTTTTCGCAAAAAATGACGATGTTACCCCTTATGAAAATTGCGAAAATTGGCCAAAAATCATTTTTTTTGAATCGTCCAAAAAGTGATTGGGCTTGTTAACTGTGGCCATAAGGTGCTCAAAACAGTATTTGGTTCCGTTGTAAGTCACTTTTTGGCCTTTTTACATCCGAAAAACCACTCAAAATATAGTGTTTATACCAACATTGTCAACTAATCTTTTCCAAATTGGTTTTTTTCATTAAACTAAAAGAGGTTAATAACAATTAAATTTATGTTTATTATTTTTATTATTATTGTGTTTGTTTATGTTCGACATATTTGATGACTGCAAGGGCATATAAGCTTCGGCTCGCCGCAGCTAGCTTCCTTTCTTGTTTAAATTTATTTATGCATAATAAATAAAATGAAATATTTTCTGTTTAATTAACTAGCTTTTATTTGCTCAGCAGAGTTTTACAACATTGCGAAGGACTCCCGGAGAAATCGCTGAATTTTACAACTGTGGTCAAGGTGGTGCTGGAAACTGTCAATTTACTGGAGGCGGTGACTAGGCTACCTAGGGTGACTTCCCTTGGGATCCCCCGGGCGCGCCCTCCTGCTCGGAGTCCGTGGGCTCCCCGCTCGCCGCCTGAAGGCCACTGGTCACTGGCCGTTGGCCGGACGACGCCTCCGACGGCTGCTGGGAGAGCTGCCCCACCGAGGTGACCAGCTCGTGGGTCACCTGGAGACTCAGCACGGAGGTGGAGGTCACCAGCGTGGAGTTGGGCCTGATGCCGTACATCCCCAGCCGCTCGCCCTTCTCGCTGGCAATCGTGTCCGTCCTCAGGTACTCGGCCCCCTTCCCGGTGACCACGCAGAGGTCGATGTTCGACCCGGAGCCCAGGTCGTTGAAGACGCCCGCCGTGATGGCCGCCCGCACCAGGGTCTTGGCCTGCTCCTGGTCCAGGTCGGGGCCCCAGCCGCGCTCCAGCACCGACATCGCCGCCAGGGTGCCGGAGCCCATGGCCGCGTAGGGCAGCTTGTCGTTCGAGCCGCACGGGTAGATGCAGTAGATCTGCGGCCCCGCCCTGTCCACGCCGCCCATCACCAGGGCGGCCCCGATGTGGCCCTGGTAGCGGAACAGGGTCCTGCGGAGCAGCATGCTGGCGCAGACCACCGGCACCTGCCTGCCCGTGTTCAGCTGGTGCAGGTCCAGCTCGGCGGAGGTCATCGAGGTCATCATCTCGGTGTCGGCGGCGGTTCCGGCGCCACAGCAGCTGCGCCGCGAAGAGGCTCTCTGTGAGTCGCGAGTTGCAAGTGCGGGACGAGCCAACCCCCACAGCAAAACCCCATACGTACTATATGTGCGCCTGCAGGTGGTGGATCTTGGAGCAGTTCTTGTCCGAGACAATGGGCCCCTCGGTGGCGCGGGTGTCGGCGCCCAGGATGACCCCGTCCCTGTAGATGACGCCCACGATGGAGGTGCCCGTGCGCACCGCCTTTGGCGGCTCGTATCCCTGGCCCAGCAGCTTGGCGTTCCTGGGGAGACAGGCCTTTCTAGCAATTACCTCGCAGAGTAGCAACCACTCACCGTCTGCAGTTGGCAAAGCTGAACCCACACCGCAGTGCAGGATGATCTGCGGACCTGCTGTGGGCCGCGTTTTGAGCCGAAAAGGGGAAGAGCATGGCGCGACCTTTGTTACGAAAGTGTGCAAGGAAAATAGACAAGTTTGGACAATGGCAAGACGATCTACGAATTAGGTGTGACTGATTGGGGAGAACTGTTGGGAATGTAGTTGTGGTAGAACAGTTGAGAGTTGTAGGAGGACAGGAAACCCTTGGAGTACTACAGTTCCAGCAGCTCCAGCATGAAAGATAATCCCCTTCCCACTTATAGTACATTATAATAGTTGTAATAGTAAAATATAATATATATAAATATAGTAAAATAAATAGTATAAGTCACAATGTTGTTTATTAATTTAATATGTATGTATATTATCATATATGTATGTATGTTGTATAACAATAATAAAGAGAAAAAAATCAAATAATTTTTTCTTGTTTTATTGATAAATGGCAATTTCTGAAAATGAGAAATGTTGCATACCTTAAGGGGCTGGTTTTCATTTTCAGAAATCTGCCAAAATCCACTTTTAGGTACCAGGCGAACAGAATCCATTAGTAGGTGGAAATGGACAAAAATTTTTGGAAAAGTTGCTCACTGACAGAAGCTCTATGCTATTAATTGCTTACTGACAGAAGATTTCTGCTACTGATATAAGATCGCTGCATACAATTGTTTACTGACAGAAGATCTCTGCTTCTGATTGCTTACTGTTGGAAGATCGCTGTTATAAAAAAAAAATTCGAGATCCACCTTCTAGCCAGTTCTGTTCGCCTGGTATTCTGGTTTCAGAAATTGACAATTTGGCTGTCCAAAAAATTCCCCACCCGCCTACCACATTAAAACAGTCAATAATTTCATTAGTTAGTTTTTATTATATTCAATAATTCAGACATAATAATAATAGCTAAGTTTCTTAACTTATAGTATAGTTTTTATTATTATAAGTAAGCTCCTTATGTGAGTATTATATCTTATTACTATTTTATATTATTATATTCAACATTATGCTTTTAGGTTTGTACAATTCAAATAAATTTTCTTATCGTAAAATTAATATCTGCTCCTCGCTCTGCTCGTCCAGTAATAATCATCGGCGAATAAGTTCCGGAAAGAAGGTAGTGGGGAAGTAGAAGCCCTCGCTGACCTGCTCTACTGTGGATCTGGCCCAAACTTGGTTTTATGTGCCAGGGAGGCAGGGAAGGCGCCCAGGCTCCAGCTGCTCTCGTTGATTCCTGAAAAGAAAAAGCATAGTTTTTATAACTCTTGTTCGGTCGGGGTTTCTTTTGCAGCACAAGTGTGCAACATGTTCAGCAATTACGGAGGAATTTTAATTCTGCAAAACTACATAAAATGACTCCAAAAAATTCCAGTTTTTTAGCAATATCTCCGGAAATATTCTTCCTAATGTGTAGTGGCATACTTCGTTGAATTCGTGATAAAATTCTGATTCCGATGGTATTAACACCCAAAAAAGTTGAAATTTTGCCATTTTTCGCAAAAAACGACGATGTTACCCCTTATGAAAATTGCGAAAATTGGCCAAAAATCATTTTTTTTGAATCGTCCAAAAAGTGATTGGGCTCGTTAACTGTGGTCATAAGGTGCTCAAAACAGTATTTGGTTCCGCTGTAAGTCACTTTTTGGCCTTTTTACATCCGAAAAACCACTCAAAATACATTGTTTTCTACCAAAATTGTCAACTGATCTTTCCCAAATCAGTTTTTATGAACTAACTAAAGGATCAGTTAAATAACAATTAAATCGCATTCGGTGGCATAGCTAGTTGGGCCACTTTGGTTTCCCAAAACTATACTTTGTTGGCTGTAAGTTGTCTAAACCGTTAAAAAAAGCAGCCGATTTTGCTTTCAAATCGATTTTATACACCAGGCCAACATAACTCGTAGCAGGTTGCAGCTGGTAAATCTGATCTTATTCTAATAACTGTTATTTTCATAAGATAGCTGTCCTTGTTACGCTTCCCCTCCCTGTCCCCACCAATCAGAAAGCCATCCCGCTGGAAGGTACCGTTTCTTTAAAGTAAGTATCAGACCAGAGATGCGAAACCACGCTGATTCTTTGTGCGTGTCACGAAAGTGGCACTCCGCGCACGAGTAATTAATAAATTCTCATGTGGTTGTTGTTGGCGTTACAAGAATAACTTGTCACGCGCTCAACACTAAACAAGCCAAGTTAAGCTGATCAGCTGATCGATTTGCACCTGCTAAGCGGTTATGTTGGCCTGGTGTTTGCAATTCAGTTCGTGGCAATTTGCTTGCGAAAATTTACCAAAACTCATTTTTTTTTAATCGTCCAGGTTTCGTTCAACGAGAGCAGCTCGTTCGCGGATTTATCGAGGAGCAGCAGAAATTATTCGCCTTGGACGAATTAATTATTAGGGTTTTAGAGATATTCTTTCAAATGTAGGATGGGAGTTTATGAGTGGCTAAACGCATAGCAGATGAATACCGAATTGATTAAGATCTAATTTACCAGTTGCAAAAAGAAAAAAGGTTTCCAAAACTACAATTTGTTTGGCTGTAAGTTGTTTCTTGCCCAAATAACAGACAAATTACCAATGGAAAAAACTTTTTTTTTGCCCAAAACTACAAGAAATGGCTATGTGAACTTAACTATATAAAATGCTCAGAAAACCCAGTTTTTTTGGAATATCTGAAAAAGTACTCTCCCAAATGTGGAGTGGCATACATCGTTGAATTCGTAATAAAATTCTGATTCCGATGGTATAAACACCCAAAAAAGTTGAAATTTTGCCATTTTTCGCAAAAAATGACGATGTTACCCCTTATGAAAATTGCGAAAATTGGCCAAAAATCATTTTTTTTGAATCGTCCAAAAAGTGATTGGGCTTGTTAACTGTGGCCATAAGGTGCTCAAAACAGTATTTGGTTCCGTTGTAAGTCACTTTTTGGCCTTTTTACATCCGAAAAACCACTCAAAATATAGTGTTTATACTAACATTGTCAACTAATCTTTTCCAAATTGGTTTTTTTCATTAAACTAAAAGAGGTTAATAACAATTAAATTTATGTTTATTATTTTTATTATTATTGTGTTTGTTTATGTTCGACATATTTGATGACTGCAAGGGCATATAAGCTTCGGCTCGCCGCAGCTAGCTTCCTTTCTTGTTTAAATTGATTTATGCATAATAAATAAAATGAAATATTTTCTGTTTAATTAACTAGCTTTTATTTGCTCAGCAGAGTTTTACAACATTGCGAAGGACTCCCGGAGAAATCGCTGAATTTTACAACTGTGGTCAAGGTGGTGCTGGAAACTGTCAATTTACTGGATTCAGCCACTGAAGGCGGTGACTAGGCTACCTAGGGTGACTTCCCTTGGGATCCCCCGGGCGCGCCCTCCTGCTCGGAGTCCGTGGGCTCCCCGCTCGCCGCCTGAAGGCCACTGGTCACTGGCCGTTGGCCGGACGACGCCTCCGACGGCTGCTGGGAGAGCTGCCCCACCGAGGTGACCAGCTCGTGGGTCACCTGGAGACTCAGCACGGAGGTGGAGGTCACCAGCGTGGAGTTGGGCCTGATGCCGTACATCCCCAGCCGCTCGCCCTTCTCGCTGGCAATCGTGTCCGTCCTCAGGTACTCGGCCCCCTTCCCGGTGACCACGCAGAGGTCGATGTTCGACCCGGAGCCCAGGTCGTTGAAGACGCCCGCCGTGATGGCCGCCCGCACCAGGGTCTTGGCCTGCTCCTGGTCCAGGTCGGGGCCCCAGCCGCGCTCCAGCACCGACATCGCCGCCAGGGTGCCGGAGCCCATGGCCGCGTAGGGCAGCTTGTCGTTCGAGCCGCACGGGTAGATGCAGTAGATCTGCGGCCCCGCCCTGTCCACGCCGCCCATCACCAGGGCGGCCCCGATGTGGCCCTGGTAGCGGAACAGGGTCCTGCGGAGCAGCATGCTGGCGCAGACCACCGGCACCTGCCTGCCCGTGTTCAGCTGGTGCAGGTCCAGCTCGGCGGAGGTCATCGAGGTCATCATCTCGGTGTCGGCGGCGGTTCCGGCGCCACAGCAGCTGCGCCGCGAAGAGGCTCTCTGTGAGTCGCGAGTTGCAGGTGTGTTGGACGAGTCAACCCCCCACAGCAAAACCCCATACGTACTATATGTGCGCCTGCAGGTGGTGGATCTTGGAGCAGTTCTTGTCCGAGACAATGGGCCCCTCGGTGGCGCGGGTGTCGGCGCCCAGGATGACCCCGTCCCTGTAGATGACGCCCACGATGGAGGTGCCCGTGCGCACCGCCTTTGGCGGCTCGTATCCCTGGCCCAGCAGCTTGGCGTTCCTGGGGAGACAGGCCTTTCTAGCAATTACCTCGCAGAGTAGCAACAACTCACCGCCTGCAGTTGGCAAAGCTGAACCCACACCGCAGTCCAGGATGATCTGCGGACCTGCTTTGGGCCGCGTTTTGAGCCGAAAAGGGGAAGAGCATGGCGCGACCTTTGTTACGAAAGTGTGCAAGGAAAATGGACAAGTTTGGACAATGGCAAGACGATCTACGAATTAGGTGTGAGTGATTGGGGAGAACTGTTGGGAATGTAGTTGTGGTAGAACAGTTGAGAGTTGTAGGAGGACAGGAAACCCTTGGAGTACTACAGTTCCAGCAGCTCCAGCATGAAAGATAATCCCCTTCCCACTTATAGTTCATAATCAAAGTTAGTTGTAATAGTAAAATATAATATATATAAATATAGTAAAATAAATAGTATAAGTCACAATGTTGTTTATTAATTTAATATGTATGTATATTATCATATATGTATGTATGTTGTATAACAATAATAAAGAGAAAAAAATCAAATAATTTTTTCTTGTTTTATTGATAAATGGCAATTTCGGAAAATGAGAAATGTTGCATACCTTAAGGGGCTGGTTTTCATTTTCAGAAATCTGCCAAAATCCAGGTACCAGGCAAACAGAATCCATTAGTAGGTGGAAATGGACAAAATTTTTTGGAAAAGTTGCTCACTGACAGAAGCTCTATGCTACTAATTGCTTACTGACAGAAGATTTCTGCTACTGATATAAGATCGCTGCATACAATTGTTAACTGACAGAAGATCTCTGCTACTGATTGCTTACTGTTGAAAGATCGCTGTTATAAAAAAAAAAATTCGATATCCACCTTCTAGCCAGTTCTGTTCGCCTGGTATTCTAGTTTCAGAAATTGACAATTTGTCTGTCCAAAAAATTCCCCACCCGCCTACCACATTAAAACAGTCAATAATTTCATTAGTA